ACATGTGCACCGCCCAGACGCAGAAGTTCTTGCATTTTGATTTCGTGGCGGAGGCGTCGCGAGCCATCGAACAGATACCAACGTCACAGAAACCGTGGGTCATCTGGCTGGAGCTGGCCGGCTCCGATGTTCCTGGTCCCCTGCCGTCCTTTAATCCCAAGACCGAAGCCCTGCTGTTTCTCAAGTACTATGATGCGCGTAACAAGCGCCTAAACTACATTGGATGCACCCAACAGCCGCACACCCGCCGCCTCATTGATCTGGTGCCGGAGGTTAACCGGAAACTGGGCTTCGATGCGGACACCGAGCTGACCATCTACGATGAGTACGCCGACAAGAAGCTGGCCAACCTGAACGAGCCCATCGAGAGTGTGCTGTTCATACCGCAGGATCACCTGCAAGGCCACATCCTAATCTTCGAACGCGAAAATGTCGACGCCAAACTCGACCTGCCCACGGTAGAGGACTACTTCCTTGATCTGGTCTACCGCATCGAGATCATCTTCAGCGACAAATGCAACCCCAATGAACCGGACTTCACGCTGGAACTGTCCAATCGCTATAACTACGATCAACTCACCAATGCGGTGGCCGAGCGCTTGAATACCGATCCACAGAAGCTGCAGTTCTTTATGTGCATCAACAACTACAAGGAGACGGCGGGCAACGCAGTGCCCTACACTTTTAAGGTACCCACATACAACTATTTGGTTTTAAGTTTTCCATTGCATTCGCTGTGCTTTTTCAATTACTAAGCCTGTCGTTTTCATTCCCTGCAGGGTACCATCAAGGATCTGGTGTCCTACACCAAACAGAGCACACCCAAGCGTATCTTCTACCAGCGCCTCTCGCTCAGCATCCACGAGCTGGACAACAAGAAGCAGTTCAAGTGCGTCTGGGTGAGCAGCGACCTCAAGGACGAGAAGGAGCTGGTGCTGTATCCCAACAAGAACGATACGGTGAAAGGACTGCTGGAGGAGGCGGCCAAGAAAATCACGTTTGCGGAGAACAGCCGTCGCAAGCTGCGCCTGATGAAGGTTAGCAACCATAAAATCGTGGCGATATGCAAGGACGACATCCCGTTGGATACGCTGCTAAAGACCAACGACTCCATCACGACCACACAGGGCGCTCAAAAGACTTATCGCATCGAGGAGGTGCCAGCGGAGGAGATGCAGCTGGCAGAGAACGAGTTCCTCATCCCAGTGGCACATTTCAGCAAGGATCTGTACAACTCGTTCGGCGTACCCTTCCTAGCCAAGACGCGTCACGGCGAGCCGTATGGAGCGCTAAAGCAGCGCATCCAGCGACGTCTGAATGTGCCGGACAAGGAGTGGGAAAACTATAAATTCTCCGTGATCTCCATGGGCCACAATTCGGATGTGAACGACAACACGCCCGTCGACCTGGAGGTGTATCGCTCGTGGACCAGCGGCCAGTTGCCCTTCTTTGGGTTGGATCACATCAACAAGTCGCGCAAGCGCAGCTCGCTTAACTTTTCCGAGAAGGCCATCAAGATATACAACTAGGGCGTTTTGGAGCGGGGACACAAACAGAATGTGGCCGCTTGTGAGCTGTAAACCGGATGCAGGAGGCGGAGCAAGTTTGCGTGCGGAGCGGGATTCAAAGATTCATGTTGGATGTGTGATGGATTGTGGGCAAGGGACGGCTGCGTTTGTTGCTTGGCAAACGTCAATTGATTTTCAAAATTCAAAACAAAGAGTCTGTTTCTTGAAACCAATTCATACACACCACACATACGCACGCACGCACACACACACACACACACATACACACACACACACACACACACGAGCGGAACTTACCATTATATTTTTATACATATATATTGTTTGTAATCTAAAAGCTAAGTAAATTTTAGTTATTTATTAGTACCCGCCGCCGATGTCCACGTTTGCAGAGCCACTGGCCACGCCACGCACACTGCTCCCTCCTTTTCCCCTCTTCCTGCCTGGCTGCTCTCGTTTCCGTTTCCGCCGAACAATCCTGACCAGAGTATCCAGCTTTCGCATCGAGTCCAGTCTCCCAAATTCTACTGACCTATTGCTTGGACTAAAGTAACTTCAATGTAGGCTTAGACTTAAACGTGTGTGTGTGTGTGTCTGTGTGCGTATGCTTTCTATGGTATAATATTCATAACCGATAATTGTTTAATCGCAGGCAGAAGTGAACTCGAAACAGCGAATCGGTTACTTTTGTCTGTTGTAAATAAGCGTTCGTTGCAAGTTGCCCATTAAAAATTATAAACAAACAGAGAAAGGAAACAAACAAGCATATGTAACAAAGAGAGGTGGCGAGGAGTGAAGAGGAAAGAAAAGGAAAAAGTTTAAACTAATAGAAGGCATAGGAAGAACCTAAACTAAATAAAAACCAACCAACAAGAGAAACGTATATATATATAAAAAATACACGAGAGAGGAAGAGCTGTAAACAATTAAAAGCAACTATGTAACAAGTATAACTTTAAACGACACATTACGATTAACAAAACAAAACAAAACGAAACGAAACAAAATAAGTCATCAAGTTGTTGCACCAAACGAGACGAAGACAAAGACGATGAATGGGACGCATGGAGGCATGGAGATGGGTATGATGTACTCGTATTCGAGCAGCAAATCGAAAGAGACAGCGTGTGGGGATGAAAAATATAAGATTTGTTTCAAACAATTATTTGTGATTTTTAAACATGAAATGATAAAAATGTATGCAAAGGACTAGACAACATAATATTAATTAATAAATTACTATAATACACAGTTTAGTGCTTTTTCTTTGTTAACTATAGCGAAAGATTCGCGATCCGCATCCGGATCCGATTCGAAAAACCCAATCAAATGAGAAGAGCCAACAACAAATAATATTTTAATAATCTACTGCTATGCTATTATTATTTATGCAGCAAATAATTCAATTTATTTATGTGTACAAAATAAAAAGAAACAAAAAACCAACAAAAACCCAATAAAATACCAAGAATTCAACAGAGCGATCTTTTCTTCTGGGCCATGTGGATATTCTTACTTCTTATTCTGGAAAATGCGTAGCTTTAATAACTTTTGCAATTCGAGCATGTTTAGTAGCAGTAGTTTTAATGAAGTCGTTTGGAAAATCATGGTCTATGGTAGCTTACAAACTAGGACTCTTAGAATTTGCGGCGTTTCAGCAGCTCGGGCCGCCAGTTAACCGGATGCGACTCCTCGCTGGCCTCGTCATCCTCCTTGTACACCTTGATCGTTTTGTCCGCCTCGGCGGTGATTAGCCTGGTGCCCGACTGATCGAAGCACATGGCGAACACGCCCGCCTCGCTGTCCATGGAGCCCGGCTGGACGGGCGCTTGGAAGCGCTGGAAATTGTAGCCGGTGCGCCAGTCCCAGAAGAACATGGTGCCGTTGTCGCCGCCCGATACGAGCACGCCGTCATTGTTCGCCGCCATGCAGTTGACAATGGCCGTGTGGCCGGAGATGTTCTGCACAAAGTTGCCCTCCGGACAGCGCCACTGCTTGATGTTGTCCGGCGAGGCGGAGGCGAACATGTACAACGATGGATGCAGCACAATGCTGCGCACAGACTTCTTGTGATTGGTCAGCGTGCAGACGCTCTTGCCGGCGGCGAGATCCCACAGACGCACCGTGGAATCGTGGGAACCGGTGATGATCTGCGGATTTGTGGCCTGGGCCACCACACTGGCCACCGTGTTCGTGTGCCCCGTCAGTGTGTGCACATTCGCCTTGGTCCTCATGTCCCAGATGCGGGCAGTGGAGTCGCGGCCGGAGGTGGCCAGCACATCGATGGTGGGATGCAGGGCCAGGGAGTAAACTGCCGATAAGTGGCCATGATAGTGTCGTATGACTTTGTTGTACTCCAGATCCCAGCACTTCACTTGCCGATCCTCGCCGCAGCTAAACAGATACGGATGCTTCGAGCTGACGGCCACACCGCGCACAGTGCTCACATGACCGGTGAGCGATAGCTTCAGCTTGCCGCTGGCCAGGTCCCAGATCTTGATTACACGATCACCAGCGCCGGTGGCGAACCACTCGTTGCCCGGCTCCACGGTGATGCAGCGCACCCAGCCCAAATGGCCGGAGATGACGCGGGACAGCTTCCAGGGTGCGTGCCACTTGGGTTTGGGTATGCTGGGCGCCTTCTTGGGTATCAATTGTAAATTGCTGGCGCCGTTGCCATTGGCGCCCTTGTCCCCATTGCTGTTCGCCATGGAGGCGCGCACCAACGATGTGTGAGTGCCGGTAACCAGAGGCGCTGTCTTGTCCGCTGTCCTGCCGCCCGCACTGTACTTAACCAGACTGCCGGCGCCGCTGGCCAAATCCGCCGCACTGCCATCGGTGATGGCCAGTGGCTTGTCGCCCGGCATCTGGGCGCCTGATGCCTTCCTGGCCTCGGCGATCTTCACCGCCTTGTCCAGGACAAGGCCGTAGCTATCCTTGGCCTTGATGGAACGTCGCAACTTCTCTCTGTTCCGGGAAGAACACAACTTAGCAATGCGAAAGTTACCAACTCCAGTGTACTCACAAATGGTCGTCAATTTCCGGCAGATTTCCCTGGTTGGAGACGAACAGATCGTGGGTGCGCTTTAGGGAGCGGAATATCAGCGTGTGCACGCTGTGCTTTTGTACGTCTTCCATGGCAATTGGCTGCTATTTATTGTTTATTCCCTAAAATATATTGAAAATGCGGCGCGGCTTTTGCAGCTGACCACAAGCTGTCGGACTATCGGTTATCGGGCAGTGCTGTCAGCTAGCTCTTTTATAGCCAAATGCTTATGCTACATGACCAGCTATTTTCGAGCCAAATTTTATTCGAATTTCAATGTATTTCTTTTTACCTTCCCAAAACCTCTTTTCTATAAACATACGTGCAAAAACAAAAATTATTTCATGTATAAATTAGAAGTTTAAGCCGAATGGGTTAAACCAATAGTTGAATCGTTCAGAATCGCTTTTTTAAATTCGAGGAAAAAATGTATTTTATCTGCCCACTGATAGATTAAAAAAAACGGTTTGTCCTTTTTTGAAGCACATTTCTGTTTTTTTGTTTTTGTGTTTTGTTTTGTTTGTGTTTTTTCTTTTTATTATTAGTTTGCGGGAACCGGCGATCCAGATGCAAGAGATGAGGACGTGGGGGACACCGATGGTGACGAGGTGCTGGCCGCAGCTCCACTTTCTGGGACGGGCGATGGCCTCGTGTTGAAGAACTGTTTGATCTGCGAATTGGAAAAGAAAGCTGATTCACTTATGACCGCAAAACAGCGCTGACCTTTCACAACTCTGTCATAAAACAAACTTTACGCACATGTATATAATCCGAATGACAGGAAAAGAAGTAAAAACCACTGCTTATCACAGTTTCTAATCCCTTTATATAATCAAACCCTAAACCACATTAAAATGGACTTGGAATATTGGGATTCGCTTTACGTGTGATTAACTTATAAACCTTACCGAGTCTAGAATGTTCTGAACATTAATTCAACTGCTGCCGGTTTTACCAACATTAAATTGTTGCTTAAGCTATGGGGTTGGGTTTAAATAAAGGTGTTTTGCTATTCTCTAAAGTGGTCCTGATTCTGCCCTAGGCTTGTAGAATATTACCAACTTGTTTTTGGAGTTATGACAGTTTGTGTGAAAGTTATGCGGTTGGGCATTTGCTTACGATGCGCTTGATGTAGTTGCATGAAGTTTCGTTGTTCGAGCTGGACACCACGTTGTCCACTCGGTACGGCGGCGAGATGGTGACTTCATTTAGGATTTGTATGTTAAGTCCTTGCCAAGAGACTTCATTGTACTACAAAATAGTAATAGTAATGGTAAATATTCAATGGTGAACTCTAAGACATCTTGCAAAAGGTCATTACCCCGTATTGTTTGGCTATCGCTCTATAGAGCTCCTGTGCCTCTGGACTCACATCAGCATTCTTGGACTTCAAGTAGTCCTGTCTTCGCTCTACTGTTTTCCGCAGGCGCATTTTGACCTGTTTTAGAGTTATAATTATGATTTTATAGTATTTCTGGGGAGAGCTCGTATTCTTACCTGTTCCAGATTCAGCTTTTGCGGATCATCAAAGTTGCCGTTGCACTCCTTGACCACCTGCACATTGCTGCAGAGCGAGAGGTTCAGCGCGTAGATATCACTCAGTTCCTCCGTGGACTTGGATCGGCATTCTATACGGTTGAAAAGGGAAAAGAGCAAAAAAGGGGGGCAAAGCCAGGGGCAAAGATATACGATGTACGGAGAACCAAATTGTGAAGCAGTATACATTAGGGTGTGATAAGAGATAAGTGATATAAGATGATCGCTTAGTAGTGTGAATTTGAGTCAAGGCTAGCAGTAAATTATAAATGAATCTAAAGGACAGTGTGACTGACCAAAAGATTCCTGTGGGTTATGTAAAGCCGGAGAAAGTGCTCACTTTCACCTGGCGGGCAAGTGTGTGTGTTTGTTTTTCGGCATTTTTGCTTATGGCTGATGTTGCAAAAGGATACTCAGGATAAGCATCTTTGTGTTGTGATCGAAGGCCAGCACCTCGCCCTCCACCTCCTCGTTGAAACAGGTCGTGCAGACGACTGTGGATCCAATGCTGAAGCAGTCGTTCACTGCATTCACTGCGCTCGCAGCGGCAGCGGCCATTTTTAATTGCTGGTTGAGATTGGCCAACTGGAAAAGTGCACCCACAAGCTATGTGGATATGGATACGGATCTAGAACTAAATTTTGGGATACTGATTGTTTTCAAGCCGCTTGCTTAAACAACGTTGCTCAAACGAAAAACAGATGATTTTGCGAAGCAGCTGCTTGGATGCTTGAATTCCTGGATTTCTGGAAAGGATTTCACTCGTTCGTACTCTCTTTCCGTGTCTCTATCTCGTTCTCTCCGGCTGTGTAGCTCTCTCGCTTTCACTTGAACCGCTCCAATGGAAATGTCGCTTCCTGGCGATCTGGTCGAGATCCTGCTCCTGCTTCCGCTGCTCCTGATCCTCGCGTGACTTGGCCAAAAACTCGCTGGTTATTCGCTCGGTTGGCTATCGACAATCTAATTTGGCGGCAATTGCGGTTCGGTAATTGAAAAGTTGAAAAAATATACGAAAAATTTATTGGTCAACACACGAAACAACAGCCAAAAGGGGGCAGCAGAAAACGCAGTGTTGCACATGCCGCGCAGCGATAGGTTCGATAGACATCGATTCGCGAAGTCTGGCAACGTTGCTGGAAATATATCATTCTCAAATAATAATTAGTTTATTTGTGTAGAAAAAAGCAGAAAAATGGCAGATTATTTAGCTTTTGGTTTGAAAGATATTATGGTAAGCTAAAATTTATTGCTTACTGAAATATATGCCCAATAATAGCGGTTTTCCTGAATGCTTTTGCAATTCTATGTTACTCAGTTTCTGATCCAATCCTCCCTAATCGCTTTATTGTTTTAAAGATATTTTCTCAATACATAAATTAAATATAAAACTGTTCAAAAATTTAATGAAATTTTTCCTTAGGCCATCGATAACATATCGGCATGCTACTCAAGCATATACCTGAACTATCGACACTATCGATAGCTATAAGCCCAGCTCTAAAAGCCAAGCGGAAAACCAAAAATCAAAAGGAATTATATATAATGATGGAACCAAAGACCCAGCCGCCCGTGGAGCGTCCGCCGAGTGCAGAGACCTTTCTGCCCTCCAGCCGTGTGCGCACGATCATGAAGAGCTCCATGGACACGGGCCTGATCACCAACGAGGTGCTCTTCATGATGACCAAGTGCACGGAGCTGTTTGTTCGCCATTTGGCGGGTGCGGCGTACACAGAGGCATTCCACCAGCGACCGGGCGAAACGCTCAAGTACGAGCACCTCTCCCAGCTGGTCAACAAGAGCAAGAATCTAGAGTTCCTGCTGCAGATCGTGCCGGAGAAGATCCGGGTGCATGAGTTCAAGGAGATGCTGCGGCTAAACCGCTCCGCCGGCAGCGACGATGACGAAGAATCCGAATCCGGTTCAGAATCGGATGAATAGCGGGCCCTGCAGCTGTATTTCCGCATGGAAATGGACTGGATGGTCCACCAACACCGACTGATTTCAACGCCACCTTGCTATCTTCAATTTTAGACTAGACGATAAGTGAACGATTTTCTATAGAACCTCTGATTAATAAAGAAGCATAAGAGCACTGCGTCCTCTAAACGACCATAAGATCCGCGGATAATTACCGATTGTCTGCGCCTGATAAGATTGCTGTTCAGAATCAGATACTTAGTCTACCACATTAAAGTAGGAGGTACATTATGTTTATCAGATTGAGTACATAATTGGGCAAGTAAAAATGAATAAGAAATAGAAATAGAAATTCAAATTTCTCCTTGCATACAAAGCAATCAAAGGCGCGAGTTAAAACGTTAAAGAGCATAACATATAATTGCACTTGGATTCGATTGGTACATTATACTGGGGCTAAGGATAGAGATTGCAGCTCCTAGACCTTCAGGTTGACGCCGGGATAGCCAGTGGCATTCAGGCCGGTCACCTTGTAGGTGGTGCCAGCTGGAGCAGGCTGATCGAACTTGGCGGCGGTGGTCACGTACAGGATGTCCAAGTTGGGGCCACCGAAGGCGGCGGAGGTAATCTGTTTGGTGGGGAACTTGATCTCCAGCAGGATCTTGCCAGTGCTGCAATGGAGTTTGACATTTAAATCGCGCATACGATTGGAATGCTATAGTGATCTTACTTGGGATTAACCTTGTAGATGGTGGCGCCGTTGAAGGTGGCCACATACAGATTGCCCTCGGTATCGATGGTCAGGCCATCGGGCAGCAGATGATCCTTGGGACTGTTCTTGCGCAGGTTGAATATCACCTTGGGATTGCTGGCCACACCGGTCTCAAAATCGTAATCGTACGACTTCACCTCGTAGTCGGTGGTGTCGATGTAGTAGAACTTCTTGGCCTTCTCGTCCCACGCCAGTCCATTGGAGATGCCCACATCGCCCTTGATCACCGACACCTGGCCACCGGCCTCCCAGCGATACAGCTCGCCATGACGGAACTCGAACTCATCGCCAATGTAGCGCATGGTGCCGCCAAAGAAGCGACCACGTGGATCCACCTTGGCGTCGTTCAGCCGATTCTTGTCCATCAGCGGCTGCACCTCGAACAGCGTGCGCACCACCTTGGCGCTGGGTGAGACTCCGTCCCAGCTCACGATCACCACGCGGCGGCCACAGCCGACGGCGAACTCCTGCGGACGTCCCTCCACCGGCAGCACGAATCCGGCCAAGGTCTCGCCCTCGATCTTCGTCTTGTAGACCTTGTTCTGGGCATAATCGTAGCGCAGCAGGCTGCCGGCCTCCAGGTCCACATAGTACAGGCTCTGCCTGGCCACATCCCAGTGGGGACCCTCGCCCAGGCCGGCGTAGGAATCGGGCAGTGGTTCAATCTTGTACGACATCTGTTGGCGAAATTGGGATCATGGGATTTCGATTAGTGGACCTAATTGATTATATGGATTTACATAACAAAAAAGCATTTGGAATGCTTCATATCACTTCACGGTTATTATATGATTTAAATACCATTTGGATTAGACTTCATTTTCGACTGGAGGATAAGATCGCTGAATCAGCACACTTTAATTGGATTGAACAATTAGCAACAACCAAAATTGAAATTTGAGTGTAGGATTAAACCATGAAATTACACTCCAAAGTAAAATAAATAACGATTTGAACAATCAACATGATAATAACGAATTAACAGCATAATTTCTATGTGAATAACAAAAGATAATCGAAATAACTATGAAATGAATTTCAAATAGTGATTGTTTTTGTAGAATCCTAAAAACTGAAAACTCGCAACACTTTTTTTTTTCAATTTTTTAGATGGGCCTTGAAAGCCCCTCGTCCTACGTATAGATGCAGTACCGTTAGGCCGAAAAGGCAGAGTGTAACCACTGGAACCAGTAACATCTTGCTCTCTGGGGCTCCGAATCCAAACTGAGCCCAAACCCGTCGCCCGGAGGTGCTTTTATTACCTCCAGACCAGGGGCTTGACATTACTGGCTGAGATCGGCGTCATCGTCATCATCGCAAGCGGAACACAATGTGAGATTATTTATTTACTTCCATTTCCATGTTTTAAGTTCAATTTTTCCACAGGCCGACGGTGCACAGTGGAGTTTTTTTTTGTTCATTTGCTTTTTTTCGATTTTTCAGATCGTTACATATGCCATTTCGCAGGTTTAACATGTTTAAGCAATTTATAAGGTGCTTCATTTTAAATATGCAGTTTACGTACATTTTGTGTGTATGTAAAGCTACAATTTTTGCCAGTCGGATTGCCCAGTTGCTCCACTGTGCGATGCAGCTGCGCTCTTGTGACGTCATGCCCTTCACTACTCACTCACTCGGCAAAAGCAACAACAACAACACAGCACAGATGCCGCGATTAACTTTTAACTTTGATTGCGCCTGGCATTTAGCTATAGGTTTTTAATTGACTTTTGGTGTCACTCGGCTGCTGCTATTGAATTGGTCAAGTGGAGGAGACCTTAAAGAGATGCTCAGCGGCAGGGACTTCTGTTATCGGGACAGCGGCACAGTGGGGCAAGTGCGCTCGAAAGTGCCCAACTCACAAGTGTCTTCTTCTCAGGCGTCGAGCATAACAAAGTGTTTGAGTTGCAGCTCTCGATTTCCACATTTGATTCGCATTGATTTTTTAAACTTTGTATAGCACAGTGTACAAAAGAAAAAATTGGAACTACTTTGGAATATTTTTTGTGAGTCCAAAAATTTCCATTTAATTTTGATGTTGTTTCGATTATACCAAAGAAATATTCAATATAGGCTAAGAGAGCACACTAAAACACACTTAAAAAAAAGGTGGACCGCTGAGAGCTGGAGAGCACCTACCTTGGAGAAAGTATTTGCTCGAGATGAGAGATGGGGGATCGAGAATCGAGAATCCTTGGACACGGCTCCGCTGAGTGGCGCGTTCAAACTGAATTCCACCCGATCCGCCCCAATTCTTTTATACCCCAGGCGGCACGGGCGTGACACACAATCTCGCCAAAAGCACCTCCTCCTCCTCCGCCCACTGATAAGCGAACAATTGGAGGGCTGGATAGCCCGACCTGATAACAGAGTTACAGTAGCCGGCAACGGGCAAATTAACCCGATGGCAAATTGCAAAAATATTTCAAGGCAGATTGCGAAAGCGCAGCATCACAGTTTCGAAAACACCAACGAGGCGTTTTCAAATTATAAGCAACTCGAGGTTTTAAGAAGTCAAAATGTTCGAAAACCATAATGAGCCTAATTAAACTGCCTGAATGTATACAATTATCTTAACAAACAGGTATTACATACCTGTATATTACAAAATAAAATGCATCTAGCAGTTCTTCGATATATGCGTTCTTAAGTGCAATCCTAAGATTTGAACTTGAATTTTGAGACTAAATATTGCTTAAAGCTAAAACTTGAGTTAAAAGTTGAGTGGATGTAGTAAAAGTTGTAGGGTTAAGAAAAGAGGGCATATTCTACAATAATAATGCACAGGAGTGGGCGAGAGGCGATAAAAGGCATTTAAAGCTCGAATTGTAAACTTCAAACTCTTCGTAATTCCCATTTATTAAGCGCATTTCTATGCTTCCGCTGGACGAGTGATAAGTTGCAGTGGATGGCGATAAGTCGCCAAAGGATGTATCTCTAAGTTCATGGTGCATGTGGCATGGTTCGGGATCTTGTGGTCCATGGTATCAGCTGCCCACATGACCTTCACTGGTTATTTATGGCCCATCTTTCGCTGCCTTTGCCAGTCCATGGGTTGGGGTTTTATGCTGGACTTGGGCTTGGGATTGGGAATCATGACTGGACAGAATCCAAATCCAAATCCGATTACGAGTGCCGAAACTTGAGGTCCAAGATGATGGACTGCTTATCATCAGACGGTTGGCACACAAGTTTGGCCCCTGGACTGGTACTTTCTAAATTCATCGGTACTTTAAATTTGAATTGCTATTTAATTAATTGCTGTAAGATTTATGGCCATTGGCATTATTGATAACGAAATCACAACCTTTTGCCAACCGAATTCGCTAGGGTCAACGCAATAAATCTTCTTAAATCGTAACAGTAAAGTAAGCATTGAAATCCAAATGCTTTACACTTGAATATTCATTTAGTTTGTAATTTGAAAACATCTGTTGAAAACTAATTATTGCTTTTGGTTGTGTGGTTTCTTTGCTATAGGTACATACGTATGACTTCAAATAGGATTTCTCTCCAAACGTGATAAAGATTACTTAGCTAGTTTAGACAATTTGTAGTTATATGAGTTATTTAAAAAATTCTTTTCTTCCTTTTTCAATTCGAAATCAAAAAACTTGAAACCGCACAAAAACCGCACCAAAACAATAAACAGATCGCGCCAAAATCGCGTGTAAGCCGCGCCAAACCCAAATACATACATATATTTTGCCATTTCGCTTTGATCGGTTTCGGCGCGAATTTGGTGCTGTTTTTGGGTTCGGTTAAGACTTCTTGAACTTTAAAACTTAAAAATTGCGGTTTATGCACATATTTATGTACATATAATGATTTATTTACGTACAGATTTTAGAAAGAATACGTATTGTTGTTGAAATACCGTAACATTCAAAGAAGATTGGTAATGCAAAGGAAAAAGTGAAAAGCGCTTGATGGACCGGTTTTTTGTTTTTGTTTTCATCAATAATGTTATTGCCCCCCGTTCTATGTCAAGGTTAAAATAATTGTGCAAATTAGACAGATTTGCGGCGTCTGTGCATCACCTTGCAACCTGTGCTAACTTACCAACGATTAGCGATTAGCAAGACGCAATTAAATGCAATTAAATTAAGCAAAATAATTGCTAAACAAAACGGTAAAATGAAAAGATAAAAGATACAACAAAAACGCTCTATGGGGTCAGCTGGCGCCTTAAAGAGCTGCCACCTAATTCACTCTTTCGGAGTTGCCAACTGTCTGGCAACGCGCGTTCGCTGGAATTCGATAACAAGGGGCACAAATTAAACATTTTTAAATGAAAGCGCGTGGAATTCGGCGAACAAATTAATTTTAGCTTGGTATGGAAAACGTAAGATGGTCTAGTCTTTTTAAAATTTCAATACATATTCGAGACGCTTCGATTTTTGGCCTATCGACGGCAGTATCACCACTAGAAGACAGCGGAAAACAGCTGGTTTTTGAAATGAAAAGGATATGGATATTTCCATTTGACCTTCGATAGTGCGGCAATGGGGTTGAAAACAATGGAAACCTAGGTGCTAGCGATGTACATTAGGATTGGATTGAATAGTTTGATATCTCTGGTGATTGTCATCCTGGTGGCAGCCTACCTCTACCGACATCCGGGAGGAAATGGTGGGTTAACCGTTGAGGAAGTAGCTTTTTCCCACAATTACCCCACATTTCTGTTCTAGCTGGCACCAAGAAGGCGTCCAGAAGACCACCAAATCCGGAGGATCCACTGCCGCCCTCCAACTCGCCGCTCCACCAATTCTCCCGAGCGGCCGTTTGTTCCGACAGCGATGTATGCAGCCAGTTGGCCAGAAAAGTCCTGAAGAACGGAGGAGGTGCTGTGGATGCCGCCCTGGCGGCCCTGATTTGCAACGGACTCATCGGGATGCAGAGCATGGGCATCGGTGGCGGCATGGTGATGAACGTTTACGTTGCCAAGGAGGGCAAATCCTACAGCATTCTGGCCAGGGAAATTGCTCCGTTGGCACTGCGGGCGGAGAACTTCTCGTCGTTTCGCGATGAGCAGGATTTCAAGCGATCCGGATGGGCCATAGCCGTGCCAGCTGAATTAGCCGGATATGCGGTGGCCCACCAGAGATTCGGGCGGCTGAAGTGGAAGGACTTGGTGCTGCCCACTTTGGAATTGTGTCGTCGTGGCTACCGATTGTACAAGCACCAGTACGATGCGCTCGTACTGAATCAGGACATGATTAAGGCCGATCCTGGCCTGCGCCGGATGTTCATCGATCCGGGTACCGGGCGCTTCTGGCCATTGGGCCATCTCATCCGCCCCTCGGCTGAACTGTGCACAACCTACGATAGGTTGGCCACAGAGGGACCACTTAGTTTCTACAGGGGTTCCATCGCCGATGATCTGTTGGCCGACTTAAAGGACGCGGGCAGTGCAATAACTAAGGAAGACCTCAACCAAGCCCACGCCAAGTTGAGTAGCGCCATTGTGCTGCCCCTGGATGAACATGATCTCCATTTGACCCCTCCACCTGGAAGTGGTCACGTTCTCGGCTTCATCATGAACATACTGAAGGAGTTCCGGCCGGAATTCTCGAGAGCCGGAACTATGAGCCCACGGGAGATTCATTTGATGGTCGAGGCGATGAAGTTTGGATTCGTCAAGCGATGGCAACTGGACGAATCGGCCAGCGAGGAGGTGAGCCCATTTCCGTCTCTTTCGAATCCGTGGGCCTTGCAAATATATATGTAGACTATAAAAGGAAGTTAGTTAATAAGTAATATCTTAATATTTAATATAGTATAGCAAAGTGAATATCTTTATAAAAGATTAGTGGATATAGCCTTTATATATCTTAACATAGCCTTTATATTATTTAATTTCTCCCGCAGCTTTTGGCGAATTTGACCAGTTATGAATTGGCCAAATCCGTGGCCAGGCAAATCAACCACACACAGACCTTTGACCGCCCAGAGTTCTATGGTGCTGCCCCTGGCATTCAAATACGAGATGAACACGGCACTGCGCACACATCAGTGCTGCATGAAAACGATGCAGTTTCAGTGACCAGCTCCATCAATTTCTAGTAACTACACATTGCTAAGCTTATTCCATTGGATGTGTATAAAAAGTAATCCCTTTTCATACCTTTACAGTTTCGGCAGTGGACGAACTGGCAGACGCACAGGTGTAATCTTTAACAACGCCATGTCGGATTTCTCCATTGAGCAGCTCAAGAACTATTTCGATCTGCCCTTCGTGGCTGGCACGAATGGTGTAGCTCCTGCCGCCCGTCCCATGTCCTCCATGAGTCCTGTGATTGTCACGGAACGTGCCACTGGCAAAGTTCGCTTGGTTGTGGGTGCCGCTGGCGGTACCAAAATAATCTCCGCCCTCGTACCCCTTCTCGTGCGCATCCTTTGGCAGGAGGCGAGCATCAAGGCCGCCATCGATGCCAGTCGCATCCATCATCAAATGTTGCCCAACGTCCTGCTCTACGAATACGGACTACTCCAGAGCTATATGGAGAGCTTGAAGGATAGAGGACATCGATGCGAGCGCTATGAGAACCGCGGATCCGTCATTTGTGGCATCGCTCAAGAAAATGGCACCATCTGGGTGAACTCTGATTTTCGGAAGCCAGGTGGGGTTAGTGGATTTTAAAAAGTCTGATTCCAACGATGCGTCTCTGCTGACTTTTCTCAAATTAAACCAAGAATGGTAGCAAATATATAGTATTACATCAAGTATTAATAATGTTCTGTTTTCTAACAGAAACTTATTCAGACACGTTCATTGCTCAAATATATGATTTAGACAATTATTTTTCAAGTAGTTAGTATGCCAAACATTTAATTTAATATATGCTATCGCTCGAGAGGAAAAACATCGAGTATTTGTTTAAACTTTGTGTTACTTTAATGGTGCCTAGATATAAAAATAATTTATTTGTAATTCGTATCAGTTACTAAAATAATTTAAGTAATTTTTAAGTATTCAAGTAATAGCCTAGGTGTAAGCCTACTCATACAGACGTGTAAAAGTGCTCTCTGTTGCGGTGGCAACAAATAAATAGCGTTATGTATAAGAATGTTGCAACTATGCCCAGAGTGTTGAGCGCCATTGAGAAGGCGAGCAGATACTTCCATTCGATCCGAAGCTCGGCACAACCATCGTTTCTAAAAAGTATAATATTCTCCTTACCGATGTTTGGGTTTACTGCAGTTGTGCACTTACTGTGAAGGATCCTCCTGGCCAGCAATGAATGCCGTTGGCGGCTCGGAGGAGGCGTTGACCACCGCCTCGCCTGCCGAAAAGCAGGTGCAATTGTGATAGCTCAGCAGTGAACTCGATGTTGGCCCGCATTCGCCGTCAGCGGATGAGATGAGCTCCGCGAACTCGATCGCCGCACAGACGAGGGCCAAGCAGCAGAAGATCAACGCCAGGCCAGTAAAGACGTAGGACTCGGCCAGCAGGACCTTGTAGCAACTGTTGGGCGGCCTGTGGTCCGTGATCTTGTGATCCCTTCGCAGCAGTATGAGACCCGCGATGCTGGCCAAAAGCAGCTGAGAAAGAGGTAGGTTCAGTTGAAAGACATCCACATCCATTCATCTATTTATCTTACCGACAGTCCGCTCAGATACGGATTGATCAATATGGACGCATTGGGAGCTAGGATTAGTATCCAAGCGGCAAGACCCACGATGCACAGGCCCACAGCTAATTGCATAACTAGAAGCTGGCGGGATATGTTCAGATTCCTGGTGGCCTGGAGACCTGTAAATAGAGTATTAATAATATTAATAAATATATATTTGCTCTTCCCAATCCAAAGATGACTGTGTGACACCCACACTCCTCACACCTTTGCTAGACATGTGGAGAACTTACTGTCGTGGTTTTTGTGATTGACGACGATCATGCGACTGTGCCGCAAGCTATTGCGAGTTGGCGTATGTCGTCCGGCGATCTTCATGCCCTTCATGTTTTGCGGCACCGTGGTGCTCATGTAGACGGCCTTTTTCGGTAAGAGAATCGAGGGATTACTTGGATATTTCGATTGCTTAGTTTGAGTCAGTCACCTGCGAGGCCTGCGACGGCGCATCCAAGTCGCTGAGGGGAACCTGTTCGTAGGTGGTCGCATAGCGTAGTGCCCTACCATGATCGCCAGTTGGAGCCGGCAGCTGTACTGGTTGCGATGCAGGATCGGGCGCAGCCACTGCCGGCAGCTCCTCCCGTTGCGGAACATTCTGGTACTTTGGCTCCGGCTTGACGAGCGTCACTGGTGCGCTTTTACTGGCCGCGGGTGACTCATAGTTGTTGATCCCAAAGAATTTGGACTTGGCATCGTTCAGAGCCGCCTTCACAGCGGCTATGCTGTGGCTGGTGTGGCTGCCGCCATTGAGCTCCACTTCCACTTCCGCTTCCGGTTCGCCAGCCATGCTGCAGGCCAGCTGCCTCGACTGGGAGGCGCCCAAGTTGTCGTAGGTGCTCACGGGTCGGACTGGTTGCACTGGCATGACTTCCCAATCGCCTGGCTAGATTGGCTAGATGGGCATTCCGGAACTAGGATGAATCCAGGCGAGAGCAGCGCTCCAGGTGCTACGAGCATAGTACTCTCGGCTGCATTAGCTGCAATTAAAAAGTTTCATTAAATTAGCTGTCTTTAACTACATATGTATATCTAAATGTAACCTGAGCTCTTAAATAATCAAGTGGCGATTGTTGTAGTTTGTGGGTTTCGATGAAAATTCCCACGCCTTTGGTTATGCTACTATTTTTGAAGGCAAATATTAGTTTTTAATGTTTATATTTTGAAGTCTTGCAATCTTATCGCAATATTTTGATACGTAGATATTTAATATTAGTTATACTTTAAAAACAGAAAACAAGTTCTAGTTCAAGGGAAAGGCCTATTGATTCAAAGCACCGGTGCGGAAACCTATACTCAAGATTAGTCATTTTTTCCGGTTTCATAGATTTTTCCGGTTTTTAAATGGGTCGTTGGCATCCATTGATGATGCTAGAGGGAGATGGATACAGTGGGAGTGGGACAGAGAGGGAGAGAGAGAGAAAAAGAGAGAGTGATAGGAAGAGCGGGAGAGGGAGTAGTTAATGTTAGTTATTCACAAATTCCAGAGAACGACGATATTGGTATTTGCTGGTTACTTGGCCAGGTTGTTGAAACTCTCCAAATTTCTGGGTTCTACAGTTACGGATCGCTGAACAGGCCTTCGTTTCATGTGAAAATACCAAGATATTTCAGCCGCTGTGCAATCAATATATAAACCTCTGATTGCCAAACTCCACCACATTCGATCTATTTAGGGAGACACTCACACCGAAATAAACAAAAAACATTTCTGATCGTCTGCTGTGCCAAGCTAAAAAACATTACAACTTTATAAAGAGCCAACTTGTCGTACCAACAGAAAAACGAAAGTCCGATTCGGAAATCGTTGTGATGAAGAACAGCGATGGCGGGGAAAGCAGCGTACGGAAAATGAAGTAAAAAAAAAACCGAACCGAAACGAACTGAAATCAAAACAAAATCGAACTGAAATTGAACTAAAAAAATAATAAAAAATAAAAATATAAGCGGATTGGACGGATCGTGAGTGCAACTGTACGCACCAAGAGGCGAAAACAAACTAAAAATAATTCTCATCGAGCGCTTTAAGCGGGCCATTTCCACTAATGCATGCTCTCAGATCTATACATGTGCATATACATGTACACCTATGGCTACACCTCGAATACCTGAACACAGGTACTCCCCGCCACCTCGCTCTCACTCTCCCTTACGCTCCCGCACTCCCTCTCTTTAACTCTCTCTCTCTCTCTCTTTTGGAGGAGTTGTAAAACGCAAGCTGAGATCGCGAGAGAGTCGGGAAAAGTGCCGTTTTGTGCTTGTGGAAGGCATTGCAGCCAAGGTTAAAACTATTGCCCACTTTCAGCGTGTGAAAAAGTAGCAGATGCTTTTCCACATTTTCGGTTTTTTGGGGAATGTGGATGGGGATCAGCACTATCCAAGCAGAGAGCGTTCCAAATAATGAACTGAAAAATAATAAAACTAATATAGAACATTTTACATTTTTAAATGTTTTAATATTTGGTGATTTATTTTAAAACGAATCTGCATTCCCTTTCAAAGCTGGAATTTATAGAGTGTACTTTGTAATGCTCAAGAAATTATCATGAAATTATCGGTTAATTGATTGTTTTATTATACCATATAAATAAGGATAAGGATCTGAATCCTTTTGAAGCTATATATTTTATAACATTTATAGCATTTCAATAGATCCATGTATGTATTTATGTATATCATACATGTTAAGAAACAAGAATAACACAAACATAGTATTTAAGTGTAAAGATAAGAATACAGCTAAAATAATCATAGCATTTTGTAATTTCTTTCTAAGTTTCAAACGTATCTTGTAGATTCACAGCTCCCACTATAAATTTGCCATTTAACTGGATTTGCATACTATACCTTAACCGATATTCGCAAGCTTATCTTTACTAAGCTTTGAGTCTAGACGGTTCAGCAATAAAAAGCTCTTGTTCAAGTTGGCAAGACGTCTAAGCCAAGACGTTGGGCTTAAAATGGTCAGTAGTTTTGTTTTTGCTAGCCACTCTTTTGTTAGCCCTCGATTTCAAGACCGCTGAATTGCTTTGCAGTTGTCTTTGCATTTAGCAGTTAATCTAGTTATATCATAGGTAAAAATGTTAAATAATATTTGCCAACTGAAGCATTGCGGTGCAGGCTCAAAAGACCATAAACTGACGTCAGCTGGGAAAAAAGGGGGACTGTTTGTTTTCACGATGAAGATGACGACAAAGCCTGGCCAACGGACCAATGCACCTTTGCGAAATGTTGCGGAATAATAAATTGTTAATCATGCGCAATGATGGATTGAGAATGAAAATGTTACGATGACAATTGACTTCCCTTTTCCGCTAGTTGAACTATAATCTGCAGATTCGTTCATCGACTTTTATGGGCTTTCTGCATAGTTTAGACCTTTAGTTGCCAAAATAACACTTGTCATTGCGGTATATTGAACCTGGAATTAGAACAACTTTAGAAATAAAATCCGAAAGTCCGTTCGTCACCTTTTATTTGCACAATTTGCCACAGTTTGCGACTTAGAACCAATTATCGGTATTAAACAGTACACGGTTACTATTGTGATCCAGTTTTAGTACGGGTTTCAAGTCCTACTTCTTTCATTAACTTGTACTCGGCTTGGGTTACTTTGCTGGGAACAAACTAGCCAGCAAAATCCAGAAAACGGCGAATCCGAAGTTTGAATACCCTTGGCGTGTAAAAGAGTTTTGGATTCTGTATAATACCAACAATTTTGTATAGTTTTTAGAGTTATGAAGCTAATGAGCAGTATCTGTGAAATTCATTTAAACCAACACTTCTACGATCAAAAAGGGAGACAAGATTCATTAGTAACATCTTGTTGATGCTAAAAGAAAGACTGTTTCTGATTTTGGTCACGCGCCTTTTCGCCCACGCTAATTGCAAAATCTGCACAAATTTTTATAGCTAAGCCATTTTGGCGGCATAAATTTATACACATTGTACAATTTTACGCATGTGTGCAGCCCGAGCATTATCAATCTATCCAAATACGGACTTTCTTAAAATATATTGTACATAAAGATTCTTTTGGGATAGATCCCAGAAGAAAGGTGCGGTGAGCATCTGGTAATATGGTAGTAAGTAATATGGTAAGGTTTAGCCACCGCGTTTTCCTTGATGGATCGGATAAACTTCCGCAGAGGGCAGTGGCAGTGGCAGTACGTGGAACGCTTGGATCGACTCTCGAGCGAATTGTGTAAAGCTCTGCGATTGCGCATATTGTGTTTCGCGTTGCGTCGCCAACGACGCCACAATGCAGAGACAGCCAAGCGATCAGCGAAAACCCACCGAACTACCGTCCGCCATTCGTCGAGCGGTAAATAAGGCTGCTACACTGCCAGAAAAGGGGCTGAACTGTCGCTGCGAAAATCTCAACAAAAACTAGAATGTATGTAGAAGTCTGGGAACCATATTTGTTGGCACTTGTCAAAGCTCCAAAT